CCAGCAATTACAATGAAATGAAGAACAGGGAATTCAAAGGAAGCAGAATAGCACCATTTGCTGGCAACCTTGCTATAGTATTATATGAATGCACAAACAATACTCATAAAGTGCAACTGTATAACAATGAAAAATTAATGAAACTACCATGTTGCAAATCATCAGTTGACTGTCCATTTGAAGAATTTAGAAGATGTTATGAAAAAATTGCCACAGATTGTAATTTAAAAAGTTTGTGCAATGTTAATTCCACAGCAACTCATGATGAGCTCTAGAAAGTATTGTAAATTATTTGCTTTCTTAATTTCCTCTGTTAGAAACATAAACATGAGTACAGGATGTAGTGAAATAAATTCATTTCAGTTAAATTTTTTAGTAACTCATCATTATATTTATTTGAGGAAGGATTTCTTTGTGAAATTAAGGACATTTGTGATTTTGAGTTTATTTTGCTTTTTGAAATGTAATAAGGGATCAAGATAGATAGAAGAAAATGAACTTTTTGTCTGCTCATGAATTGTTTTCACATCTGCAATGCCAAATCAACCAATGCTATTTAGACGTTTCAAAATGTTATGTTATCAAAATTTTAAACATGTCCTTTACCATTATGTGTATATGCTATTCTAAATTTATGCAGCATCAAACTCTTGTTTTTGGGATTTCAAAAGGGTTTTCTTGTTGTTTTTGCAATCAAAATAAAAGGTCAAGTGAACTGTCTACTTTAAGGTTCATGAAAAATTTAGGGATAAGTGTGGTTTGATATGCGTTACAGAGATCAACAAAGTTACAAGAGATTGAGGACAAGTTTGTTTCTCCTCTGAGATTTCTTCCCTTGTCTGGGCCAGGTGCAGGTGCCTATTCTCTACATGGACAGAATTTTGGCTAAGTCACTGTCAGCTGCTAGCATTCTTTGTCTCACACATAGCTCTATTACAGCATAGTCACTACTTAGCCTCATCTCTTGCAAATCTCTGTTCTTGTTTCATTTCATCTAATTCCCCATCTTCCTCTTCATCCGGTTAAAGCCACT